GTGTGGCCTAGTAAATGGATAATTTCAACTGAAACTTTTGGTCTAGTACTGGATTGTTCAGGTTCATTCTACCCTACCTGTTGATTGTTTGCTTAGGCTTGAATTTGCTCAGAAGAATGGGTATACTGTGGTAGACAGAACAAAGGATTCCCAAATCGAGGCCCACACAATCTGTGAAAATGCTCCCTTCCATAGTAAAAGGAACTAGGCAGATGTGATTACATCTGGGGTTCTGGGAAAGGGAGATTATTCTAAACCACCAGGCAGGATCTAGAACAATAATGACAGTACTTATAAATGAAAGAGAGGGGTTGAGAGACGGAAGGGATATGTTGCTGAAAGCAGAAGTTGGAGTGACATAATTGTTAGCTAGGGCTATGAACCAAGGAATGGGGGCAACCTTTAGAAGCTGGAAACAGCAAAGAAACATTTGTGTATGTGTGTGTGTGTGTGTGTGTGTGTGTGAAGGGGGGGTCATAGGGCTTGAACTCTGGGCCTAGGCACTGTCCCTACACTCTTCAGCTCAAGGCTAGTGCTCTACCACTTGAGCCACAGTGCCACTTCTGCTTTTCTGGTGGTTAATCGGTTATACCTGTAACCCTAGCTACTCAGGAGGTTGAGATCTGAGAAACACAGTTCAAAGCCAGCCTGGGCAGGAAAGTCTGTGAGACTCTTATCTCCAATTAACCACCAGAAAACCAGAAGTGGCTCTGTGGCTCAAGTGGTAGAGCGCTAGCCTTGAGCTGAAGAGCTGAGGGACAGTGCCTAGACCCAGAGGTCAAGCCCCAGAACCAACCAAAAAAAAAAAAAAAGTGAGAAAGAGCATGTGTAGGCTCTGAGTTCAAGCCCAATACCAGAGAGAGAGAGAAAAAGAGAGAGAGAGAAAGGAAGGAAAAAGCAAGGAAGGAAGGAAGGAAGGAAGGAAAAGAAAAGAAGCATGGATATGGATATAAAACTGGATCTGTGGCTGGGCCACCCGTGGCTCATCCTAGCTACTTAGGAGGGCTGAGATCTAAGGATTGCAATTTAAAGCCAACCTAGGCAAAAAAGTCTGTGGGACTCTTATCACCAATTATCTAACCAAAAAACTGTAAGTGAAGCTGTGGCTCAGTGGTAGAGCACTAAAAATAAAGCTACCCGTAATCTGAGTTCAAGCCTCAAGACCAACACAAAAAATAATTAGACATGTTTTATAAGTATTATCTGATATGGTCCTTACAAACTATATTAAATTGCTGAGGACATATAGCTCAATAGTAGAGCACATGTTGAGTTCAATCATCACCAGAACATATGTGTGTGTATACACACACACACACACACACACATATATTTATACTATTTTATATATTTATTTGTCAGTTGTGGGGCTTGAACTCAGGGCTCCACTGTCCCTCAGCTCTTTTGCTCATGGCAGTGGTCTACTACTTTTGGCCACAGTGCCACTTCTGGTTTTCTGGGGGTTACGGAGGGGATAGGAATGTGTCTTAGTGGTAGGTAGAGTGCTTGCCTCGCATGGAAGAAGCCCCTGGTGCCATTCCTAGTACCACAGAAAAAGCCAGAAGTGGCCCTGTGGCTCAAATGGTAGAGTGCTCGCCTTGAGCAAAAGAAGCTCAGGGACAGTGTCCAGGCCCTGAGTTCAAGACCAGGACTGGCCAAAAAAAAAAAAAAAGTTTATGCCTGGGCAGGGAAAAAAAAGCCAGCCTGGGCAGGGAAGTCTGTGAGACTGTTATCTCTAATTAACCACCAGAAAACCAGACTTGGCATTGTGGCTCAAGTGGTAGAGCACTAGCCTTTAGCTGAAGAGCTCAGGGACAGCACCCAGGCCCAGAGTTCAAGCCCTATGACCAACAACAACAACAACAAAAAAAGAGTCTCACAAACTTTCCTGCCCAGGCTGGCTTTGAATGTCTATCCTCAAATCTCAAGCCTCCTGAGTAGCTGCCTAGGAGTTCAGGTGTGAGCCACTAGCTCCTGTCTCTGTATACAATTTTAGGTGCAAGAACTTGTCACATAAAACAAGATGATATTCTTCATTATGCCTTTCTATCACGAGACTTAATCCTGAGACTACATATACACACACTACCTTTTTAGTGCAGATCATTTTCACAAAATCTGTGTAACTGTGAATCAGAGTTTTAAATTAATTCTACCATTTTCAAGTGAAAGTGAGGCAAAATGGTCTTTATTTCACTATAAGTGACAGGCATAAACAGTGCTTCTGCAGTACTTTCATTATGCATTACAAAATCATAGACTATGACTGGCTTTTTTTTTTTTTGGTCCAGTTGCGGGGCCTGAACTCTGGGCCTAAGCACTGTCCCTCAGCTCTTCAGCTCAAGGCTAGTGCCCTACCATTGAGCCACAGCGCCACTTCCGGCTTTTTTCTTTTTGCTTATGTGGTGCTGAGGAATCGAACCCAGGGCCTCA